TTTGATTGGCTAACGGCCGAGGATCTTCAAAATTTTGGCCCACATTACAAAATTGTTTACTAAATTCCGGCCGGAATAAACTTTTTAATTTTTTCACTACAAAAATAGAAATGCTCAAAAAATAAGCCTGCATTATGGTAAAATTGACCCAGGAACAATTTTCACTTAATGGGCGGCTATGATTTCATTTGTAAAATTATGAGTAATTCCGGCCTAATTTTTTGATCGTCGCTCTTAGCCAATGAAGAATCAAGAATCTGCCGGTCCAAATTTGTTGCGGCAGCTATGGTAAATGTGCCATACGGTAAATGTATATATTTTTTATAACTTTCAACTCTAAACTTTTAGTCTATAGTTTGTCTATTTTTAATAAAATTTTTATAAACGCTATTTATAACTTTTGTAGTCACACCTTTATATAATTAGGGCGTGACCAACTTGGTGATTATATGAAAGTCTGACTGTACAGCAAACTTTCACAGAAAAGTAATTTAGTATAGCATCAAATGCTAAATGATTGCTTCTAACTACTTATTAATTTTTATTAATTTAAGAGTTATTAATAAAAAAATATGCTAATGATGATACTATTCTAATTCATCGCATTTGTTTTTAACGCATTAAGAATATTTAGATTTAAATACTGTTTGATATAATCAGTAATACTTTTACATATTGGAAATAAATTTACACTAATATGATCGCCATCTAATTCAATACAATCCAAATTTCCTCCATTGATTTTTTGTATTTTAATCCAAGAATTTTCTGGGAATTCAGGATCTATACCTTTTCTTCTAATCTTTGCTTTGAAATATATAATTGGTATCGGTCTTTCTGATCTTGGTAATTGATATGTACTCATTGCTTTCATATTAAATTTAAATACATCAACATATCTTTTTAACATCGTTGATGTTATCACAGAGCGTTCCGGGAGAATTAATTGATGTTGTTTTATATTTAGCGTTGACGCCTTTTCAACAACTATTTGCAATGCTTTCTCATCATTATCCATTCCTATTAATTCATCTAAATTACACATTTTAGAGTAAATATAATGTAAAATTTCTGCAACACTTGTCATTGACTTTGGAAGATCTTGACCAGTTGGTGTATCTACCATAATTAAATTTACGGATTTTCCTTGTTTAATCAATTTGCAACCCATCTCATATGCTACAATTCCACCAAATGAAGAACCAAAAAGGTTATATGGACCACTTGGATTATTTCTTAACAAATCTTTAATGTAAATTTCAGAAAGATCTTGTATAGAATGGTATTCTATTACTGTTGAATCTTGAAGTCCGGGATATTCAAATCCATAAACTGGTACATTTCCTAATGAATTAATAATATCTTTATAAAATACACAAGATCCACCTACTGGATGTATTATATAAATCGGCTTAAAAGTTTTGCTCCCGTTATTGAGTTTTTCTATTGATCTATTGAAGCCATTGTTAATTATAGGTGAAATATTTGTGCTTAAAATTTCCTTAATATTATTAGCTAAATCGAGAGGAGTCGGAGAATTGAACAAAATTTTTGGTGATAAAAGTCTAATATTAAATTCTTTGTTTAATAAACTAATTAACGATATTGCTAAAAGAGAGTTACCACCGCAATCAAAAAAGTTACTATTTACATCAATATTTCCCAAACCAAGAGTATTCTTAAAGCAAAGAATTACTCTGCTTTCAATTATGGATGAATTGTTATATTTTATATGTGGTTGCTGATCTATTTCATTAGACGCAAACCTATCAGTATTAGTTTTTACTAACGCTAATGGTTTCTGATGAACTTGCTGAACCCAGTAACTACAAGTATGGTTAAATGAATATCCAGGCAATTGAATAAGCCGAGTTTTTGCCATCAAAGAACAAATGTGCTTATAGTAATTATGCCAATTAATTTCAATTCCATTGCACCAGCAGTTTCCAATTATTTCTTCAAAACTAGTTTTGTCGGAATCAAAACTATTTATGATCGTGATATTATTACTTAATATTCTTTGAACTAATTTACTTGTAACAGTTCCAATTCCAACATTAACAAATATTGGATTAGAAAATGTTGAA